CCGCTACATTTGGGTTTGGGGTGGGGTTGGGTCTAAGGGTTTCGGTGTTGAGGTTTTGGGCTGCCACACTCTGGCTTTGGTGTTTGGGACATACCCAAAGGGCCTATGTACTAAAATAGTACAACTCAGGACAAGAGACCTACGATACGTCGTCCCCTAGGAATCATTTTCACATCCTGGAACCCCGCAGGATGCACTCTTCTGTTGCATGTCTGTATTTGGCCCCGTAGCACCAGTGCCGTAGCACCAGCACCCTTGCGCGAGTTGGGTGATCGCCAGTGGCAACTAACCCAAGCAGATATCTTGACATGTGACCCGACCATGGCCTGACGTCTTATTCAGAAATTCAGTCGTTCGCTTGGGTTTACGTCGCAAGCACAAGGCCTGAGCCTTAGACCCTGAGTTTGGCCTTACCCTGAACCCAAACCCGCCCTCAAATCTAAAACCTAAACCCCTAAACCATTATGCTAGCTCAACCAGTCGAGCAGACATAAAAAGGAGCTCAACAAAAAAGCTCTAAACCCTGAACCCCAAAGAGTCTGAGCCTCAGGCACTTAGCCCCGATGCAAGCTTCTGCCATCGCTGCGGAAATCCGCGGCACGACGAGCCAGAGGCGATGGTTTTAGGATTTAAGGTTTAGGATATAAGGTTTAAAGATTTAAGGTTTAGGATTGTTTCAGGGTTTAGAGTTTAGGATTTACGGTTTAGGATTATTTCAGGGTTTATGGTTTAGGATGGTTTTAGGGTTTAGGGGAGGTGATTTTATCATTTTCCTGAATGTGGGCTTTTCAAATTAGAGGGTTTAGCTGTTGAGGTGCCAACGGGTTTCTAAGGTTTTGGGTGGTCAAACAGCTCAACCACATAGTTGATTGCTGTTGAGTTCCGCCCAAAGCCTACATGACGTAACATGCCATCCTTGAAGCTTCAATTGGCTCAGAGTTTAGGGTTTAGGCCATTCAAGCAGTTCACAGCGTTTGGGGGCCAAGAGGCCTCAAGTAGCCAGCTCCGTACCTATAGTCTCCGTTGTAGTTCCTTTTTTGGTTTAACCAATTATATACATATATATATATATTTTATTTAGGATCGTATAAGGTAACCCCAAAAAGAAACTATAGGTAAGCCCTAATTCGACTGATTGATGTGTGTTTCTCCTTCGAGCCGGAGCAAAATTCCCTTCCCTAAACCCTAGACCCTAAACCGCGGCATCATCGAATCCCTGGTGGGCCCGGGAAGCCTAACCCTGTGGGCACCTTCACTCCTACAATTTCAGGGGGCTGATGTGTTGAGAAGATTAGTACCATACTCCTGTATGCAACTCCTGATCTGTGAGTTTCGGAAAATGAAGGATCCTGTCGTCGATCCGTATCACAAGGATGCCCTGGCAAGGTACCCTTAATGCTAGACAAAAGATCTTGGTATCAGCCTACTTCCCCCTCCGCCAGGGCCCTGACGTGGTGCAAACGCTGGGGCAGCGACTGGAGGCTTGGTTTGAACCCTAAACCCTAAGCCGTTTAGGTTTAGGGTTTAGGGTGCTCTTAGCTCTTTGGAATCATGCTATTCTAGGATAAACTCCAAGGGCTAATTCAGTTTTGTTCCCAGGACGTGACTGCTTAAAGGCTTAAAGGGGCTTCGGAAGGATTCTATAGGCAGGGTCTCACTTTAAGGAACCCTAAAAATCCCTTTAAGGAGCCCTTTGAGAACCCTCACTAAGTCCCCTGCCAGGGAAGTCTTCAAGGGCTCAGGGACTCAAGGCTTTGGAGTCCTATGCTTTGGGTTTAAGGGTCTAGTCTTGCAGCTTAGACTGTCCAGAAACTCTCTGAACTCTAAACTTATAAGCCCTTAAACTCAAAGCCCGAAACCCAAACCCCTAAACCCTAAATCCCAAATCTAAGTCTACAAGGGTTAGCTGCTGTTAGGTCTAACTGATACTACAATACGGTATGATATGATGTAACAGACTGATAGCAAGTAGATAATGTAATATACACCAAGCCTAAGTCCAGTGATCTTAAAGGAAGCTGGAATGACCTAGGGTTTGGCAGGGTGCAGGGCTTAGGGTCTCGGGTGACGTTCACGGCCTAGGCATTCCAAACGCTCTCGGGGCTCGGTTAGACGACTTCTAATCCTGCTTTAAACCTTACACGTACCCTCTATTTCCCAGTAGTGTTGTTTTGCCCTTCTTTTTTGGGCTCCCTTATGAAAACCAAACGGTGAGGAAAGGGGTACCCTGGCTTTCTGGAGTACACAACGTCAGTGGTTAAGGGGCTGCTGGGGAACCCAGACAATGTCGTGGCTTTAACCCGAGATCCCAGGGTTGTTTGGGACCCTTGGCATTTGCACTGTCGATCGGCAGCTGACGTGCCACCGTATAGAACAAGTCGTAGGACGGTTGCCTCGGCTATGATGTAATGATAATGTAATGAAAGCAATATCCAGGGTCAGGGGCTCAGTGTTTTACTACCCATGTCTCCAGCCATTGCCACAAGATTTGGGGCTCGTCCCCATGTCTCTCTGGCAGCTCGGGCTCTCGCATGCACCGTAAAATCAAAGGCGCTTCATCTGGAAGTCCGGCCCTGTGTAGGCACAAGATGTGAAGATTCGTTCCAGGATTCTGCCCGACGGGGCGATGCCCAGTCCTTAAATCGCAGCCGTCCATAGAGTCTCGCGTTATGCTACCCCAGGACTCTACCGCAAAAACCGAATAATAGAAATATGGAAACAGGATGGTTTATTCTGGCATTCCTTCTTGTCCATGTTTGGCCTGGGGGATCGTGAAGGTTGAAATAGCTTTCTACATACTACAAACCCTTCGCAACCAATGCTGCCTTCTTGTGAGCAGGCACTGGATGCCAAACGGGAGGCCTGAGGATTTCACGCTCCTTGAGAAGTTTAGGTTGCCGCTTTTGTGGTCCATGTTACCAACCCCAAAATTCTGCACCTTAGCCCGATGCCATGTTAACACCAAAACGAAACCCTAAACCCTGATCTCCGAGGAATTGCTTCTTAACGTCCTTGTTTGTTCAGCTGCCCAGTCGAGTCCATCATCACTGATGTCTGGGACAACTGTGGATAACTGTTTGTGTCAATACGCTTGAAAGCAACACCAGCTGGGAGTTTGACGATGCTGATGCAATGAAGGAGGTTCTCATGCTGCACGTAGCGATATGGTCAGCCGGCGATGTCGACGATACTGATATTGGTTAGAAGGGGCCCCCACCCTGTAATAGTGGCATAATAGGAATATACTGGGGCCCTACTATAGTCCTTATAGTCACTATTACAGAGTGGGGGCAGCTTCTAAGATATTGGTGATTGTGATATCAAATCCTGCACCTAAGACGAAGAGCCAGAACCAGAGGCTCCATCCTCGCGAGGCCCAAGACCTCCCCAAACCCTAAACCCCTAAAGCCTAAACATGCCTAAAGCCTAAACCCCTCAACAGTAAAGCCTAAAGCCTAAACCCCTCAACAGTAAAGCCTAGACCCTAAAGCCTAAACCCTACAAACATGCGTTTTTGATGTGAATTACGGATTATTCAGGAGTGGAAGGGATCTTTGCCTAGAAGGTTCCCTTCCTAGCGAACCCACGTGCCATTCAAGGAATCGACCCAGAGAGCCCAATACCCCTTAATTCAGGAATATAATGGTTCCTTAAAGGGTTTTTAAAGGGATCTATAAGGGTTCTATAAGTAAGGGAATTAAGGAATATAAGCCATACTCCTTAATTAAGGGGTATTGGGCTCTCTGGGGAAGGCTGCATGTCATGTGGTGGTTTTAGGGCTTGGGGGTCTTATTACTTATGGTTTATCTATACAATTCAGACATAGGGGGAACATGTTTGGAGGGGCTTGAAACCCTAGATTATTTGCCGCGCCAGGCAGCCGAGCGGCGTGCCATCCTCGGCTGGGCTTTCGGGATTAGGAGCTTAGGGTGGGTTTCAGGCTAAGGGGTTTCCCCGGAGTTCAGGAATATACCAAAGAGCCGTTTCAGGAACTTTGAGCTATTGCAGGGATATCGTATGGTATCCGCATTCTGGAGGTTTGGAATTGAGCTTGGCGTTTGGATTAAGGGTTTAGCAACGGCCTGAGGGTGCGCGGATTGAGGATTGTCCAGGGCTGCAGAAGCAAGACCTAAGGACAACTGAACGTTCATTGTAGGTTATATTTTTCACCAGTGTTACTTCCAGCATTCGGACGTGCCCATCTGTTTCATCGGACTTGTACTTGCCATTCGTAAGACATGCGAATTATGTTTCTTTCTTGCAGAGAAGTTGTGTTTGCAGGCGTTTGGTTGGCCGGCTATGGATGTCCCCGAGGTAGAATCAAACCAAATCCCGGAACTGCAAGCAATACTCCAAATTCACAATCTCAAGGTAACCATGATTTGTCCGAGCCGCGACGAGGTGCCAATCATCTGCAACAGCTGCGGAGGATTGTAGCCGAAGGCGGTTTGCAGATCAGGGATTCCGCACCCTTCATGATTAGACCAGGGTTTAGGGTTTAGGGTGGGTTCCTACACTACCAAAACTCTTTCATGGGATGAGACCTTGTGGTTTGCAAAGAACAAGGCCCAAAACTGCTAAAAACCCTGTGCTTAGAGGGTTCAGCGAGTTAGAGTCCGAGATTTTGGTGTTGGAGGGCTGCCGAATCTGAAGGCACGGGATGCTGAGCTGAATTCCTAGACGATCATAATCCATGCATGGAGACCTACATGTTTCATGCTCTACTAAAGTCGTGGGGTCATAGCCTACTATTTTGTAGGGGTTGCGGCTACATAACGATCTGATGCAGCACCTGTCAGTAGGATTCCACAAGGTGATATAGGGCCTTTCAGTGTCTGAAGCCCAAACTTCAAGCCCTCAACCCCCGGAACAACCCCCCGAAACTTCTTAATTAAGCCCTACCCAGAGACTCCACAACCCCTTAATTAAGGAAGATCTATATTAGGGATCCTACTGTAATTGAAGGGGTTTTGGAAGGTCTGGGTAAATCCTAGCGCTTCATGTCGCTCTCTGTGGATGTGACGCTGCTCAGCGGCCGGACGGTTACGGTCCAAGTCGCGAGTGACGGTGTCCTGGCACACGTTCGTTGACTTAGGACTTATAGGGTTCCTTAAACCCTAAACCCTAAAGCCTAAACCCTATAGGGTACTTTCTGGCTCCTACTGTAGGGTTCCTTTGTGGGTTCCTATATGGGTTCCTTTCGGGGCTTTAGGGGCTCCTTTAAGGGTTCCTTCATTGAGGACTCCAGTAGGGTTCCTTTACGGGTTCCTTTAGGGGCTTCAGGCTTCAGGGGCTCCAGTACGGGTTTTTCTTTGAGGGCTCAATAAGGGCTCTTCTTATTAGGGTTTAGGGTTTAGGGGTTTAGGGTTTAGGGTAAGTTACAATATTAGTGGAACCACCTTTTCTGCTATAGATCCTCATTATGATAACTTAAACAGTGTCCTTAGCAAGGACTCAGAGAAGGGCCCGAGGGTTCCTTTGTGGTTTGTGCAGGCTTTACCAGGAAGGTTCGTTAAGGGTTACTGTTGCAGTGTTGAGCGGCTGCGCACCGCTTTTGGGTTGGATGGTTCCTATAGGGGTGACAATAATCTACAAAAGGTTGCTAAGAAAGGGTGCGGTGTGGGCTTAGGGTACTGATAAATAGAAGAGCCCAATTCAGCTTTGGCACTTGCCAAGCACAAGCCGCTGCTGCAGCCCCAACCCTGACCCTGAACCGCAAGTTAACTCCTGAGCGATGAGCCTGAACCAATTGAAAAGTGCATTTAGGAGGAACTCTTTACGAACCAGTATGGTCTTTGTGAAGTTGTATACGACCCCGCACCCCAAGGAAACGTAACAAAACCGTCGGACATAGGATTTGACGAGCACCCGTGGCTCGGTGCCAAGGTACGGTCAACGATTTGCGACGTAGTTCGCAGGAGGACAGGGACTCCATGGCTTGAGGTTCAGGCAGAGGCACCTCAGCTCCCCAGGGCTCAAACTTCCTAAATGAGTGAATCCTAGAACTACCCTCAAGAGGGGTTTCCTGGATATGCTTGGAAACCCAGCGTCCTCTTCCCCGCACTTGAGGTCCAGCTTGCAGATGCGCAAAGACCTGACATGCGCTACCCTGTTCCCATGAAGGGCAGCTGAGCCAGCAGAAGACAGTGATCCGAATCCAGTTATGTCCTGTGGCTTGCGTAATCGTCGTAGTCGTTTTCAGAAGTCTTGGTGGTTGCGCCGGTGCTCTCTGCTACGCTTGTCGTAGTGGCTGATGTCTGTGGTTGTGGGCATCAGTTTACTCAGTCAATCAAACAACGTATCCCTGGCCTTCGCAGCAGAGATCAAGACAAGAGGAGTTGGGCACCCCCATCGCCAACCTCGTCACCAGCCCGGGCGAGTGCCTGCCAGGAGCAAGGTTTCACAGTAAGTAAGCAAGTATGGCGTCAGATGACACACTGCAAAGCCGAATTTCCTCACTGAGTCCGGTACATCCTTTGAGCACTGTTCTTTATTGCACTATGTGGCAGCCTTGCTAAAAAAGTTTCCATGAGATTCTGTCACACGAAGCCAAGCTGCTTCAAGGGCCTTCACTTCTTTGTAAAATGCCCAGGCATTGGGGCCAGGGTGCAGAGGATATCATTTTCCGATTGCGTTTCGGTTCCAAACTTGGTTTTGTTATGCACGCTCAGTGCAGTCTCCCAAGTGCAACCTTCAACTGCTTGTCCGACTTTCCAAGTACTTGCCTCGCAGATCAAACTCCAACTGTAAGGTTTTAGGGTGTCGGGGCACCTGAAGCCCTAAATTCTTAACCCTGCCATTGAACCCTAAACTCTGTTTTGGGTTTTGCAGCTGTCGGGTCAGGGTCATGAGGGGCGTGGATCAAGAGGATGCTTGACGGTCAGGTCGATTCCTTCGTTCTGTAGCTAGGAGGCATCACTGAACCCTAAACTGCGCCAAAATCACAGCATAAAGTATAGGATGCCGTGGCAAAGGCCCTAATGTAGGAGCCGGGAACACAACCGTGACTACACAACCGGCTAGGCCTAAACTCCAAAACTCCAGAGACTGCAAACCCTAACGACTCCAGGCCATAAGCCCACCTTAACCCCCACACAACCTCCCTTTCTCTAGTTCTTATAGAAATTCAAGAAACCATGATAAGGCCCACAACGGTAAGTTTTGGGGTCCAGGTAATTCCTAAACCCCAATAAACCCTACACTCGAGCTCTTGTTGGTTTCTTGACGTGCAGGACCGGCCCTCTTGACGACGGTGGGGATCGGCCAGGGCACTCAGGTGCCAAAGTCAGTAGAACGAGTGTTGCTTTTACTGTTACTAGTATTGTTGCTGTGGAAAAGTTTTATGATTACGATTTGTATGCTGGTATTGACTATCAGGACTATTTTGATGATGATTATTACTCTTATGGTTTTTCGTCTAATGATTAATACTTTCATACAAATACTGTCAACATTATTGCTATGGTCATGAGTGTTTAGAGCTTAATGGCCTGTTACGGTCAGGGGCTCGGGGTTCAAGTAACCTCAAAACACTACAGGTTTGCTGTTAGGTCCGAAGATCGTTTTGTTGGGGTGTGGGGCTAAGGCTTACTGGAGTGTGGGGCTGTGGGGGTTTGGGGTTCGTTCGTGTTCGGGCTTTATTTGATGTTGAGGTAGTGTAGGGGCAGAAGCTTTCGGGGAAGGCATAGTCAGGGTGTACCAGTAGCGCAGACCCTGCAGAAGACTGGGCCATGGAATCGGGCTTATTTGAGGCGTACTGCTGGATCCAGAAAACCTTGTGCTTGAAGGTTCTTTTCTGGGAGTGCCGTCATCAACAGGCATCAGAATCTATCATTTACATAGAATAGCATGGAGAGCGGGCCAGCTCCCAGTAGGCTTGTGAAGGATTTTTACACCCTGGACCAAACCCCTACTTCCCCTGACCCTCAACGGCTCAGGGTTGAGTAACAGCCCTTATAAAGCCCATGTACACAATCCCATGCAACAGGCGTTTTAAAACCCCAAAAGATGTTATCCGGTGGCAGCAGCCCTGAGACCCCTGATCGGAGGTCTTCGCCACGGCCCGGACCACCCTTGTGGCATCTTGCTACAGCGGCTTTCTTCGTGCAGGTGTGCGCCCAGTTTCGTTGGCACAGGTCTAGACCTTCCAGACATCCGAGTATCCCTTCATATGGTTAAGTTTAGGGTTTCGTGCTTGTGCAAGAAGGAATACAGTGAGGGAGCCGCTTTAGAACTCGACTATATACTCTTCGGTCTGGTCTTTAAGAGTCTACGCGAGGTCGGTAGATTCATTTACAATGCAGAACCTTCCCTTACGCTGTAGGCTTACGGGCTTTAAGTCCCAGGCTAAACTTGAATGATGCACATCGAATATGTTTGAGTGTTTACAAATCTAAGTGATCCCGATAGTTCTTCCCGCTAAGGCCCCTCAATTCTAGCAATCCGACAAATCACCCCGAAGCCCTGAAGCATCCCCTAACCCTAACAGCACCCTGTATTGGCTTGCCCCGGGACTTTTGTTGACTATATTGCTGCTATCCAGACCGCTGTTTCTTTAATTTGTAGCAGAGTTCCTTATTTTGAATGTACCATGATACCCGGAAATCCTGTTCCAATAATTAAGGCACCTGTTTTGCTCCATGCTCGAGCTCACGTGAAGCTTGATTGTGTAGGGCTCAGCGAATAGGATAGCATCGCGGGTGCAGGACACAGAAGTTCATCACAATACCTCAGACACTGCAGCTGCCGAACTTCAATTGCGTCAGCCCTATACCCTGAGCCGTGTAGACAAACAACCCTGTTTCCTCTTCATCAGGCGTCAGGATCGAACCGTCTAAGACTCCTGTTTTGAGGCCCAGTTTCGGGTCTACATAAATGACCTGAAGAATACAGTTGTTATTTGTATCCTCCCTTTTCGTGTTTGTGGGCGTTGGTCGTTTGTGTTCCTATTTTGAGGGTTTCCGAAAATTAGGGTACCGTATTCTGGGGTCCTTATATTAAGGATCCTACTATTTAGGGTATTATACTAGGGTCCCCTATATTCGGAAGCCCGCAACACTATATTACGCTAAACCCATGGTACTGTATTAGGATCACCTATTTTAGGGTCCCCTATGTTCGGAGACTCCTTTCTCGCGGCAGGTAGCACCTGGAATTTGGCGTTCAGCAATCTTGCCGATGCGCTTCTCGAGCTCAGCGGGTGAAGCAAACATTGAATATAGGGGCCTATACAATTGCCAATACAAATTTGTGGTGGTTCTTATTCTGGGTGTAGTGTAATATGCTCAAAACCCTATTCTGATTGTTAAGGCCCCTACAGTACTACCGTCCACAATTTAGAATCGTCAGTGGCGCCCTCGACTTTTTGAGGGCACATGGCTATATGTAGCATTTGATGCTACAATGTGTAAATACTACCATTCGTCGTCACTACCACCATCGCTGCTATGAGGTGTACTATCAAGCGTTACTTCTATCGGTGTTGCTACCCTCAGGGCCGCTGTCTTTGGCGACGACTGCCTTCTGTTCTGTGCTGTTGCTATCAATTGAGCGTTTCTTAGTTCCCACTGCGCACACTATTGGGCCATTCGTTTCAACTATACCTGTAGTCCCCAATGTCGTTCATGCTCTGGGTCCCTTTTTAGGATCCTAGGTACAGACTTGGTTGAAGCAAGAAGAGGAACTGCAATGGAGACTAGAGGAAGTGCCGTGATCCCAGGTTTGTTGCGTTCCGGCTCAATGGCTCGGCAACTGCCTGGGGCGACGCCGGCTACGGTGGAGACTGTGAAGTGGTCCCCTGCCTCTGTTGTGAAATTTCGGCGCTTGGGGATATCCATAGGCTCCATAGTAGTTCCTTTTTGGGATATAGGATTCTAAATATGAACCCCAAAAAGGAACTACTGTGGAGCCCTAGGGTATCTACAGGGCTCAGGGACGGAGTAAAACCTGAGTGTAGAGGGTTTGGGGGGTTTTGGAGATCATTGTTGAGGCATGCGGTGGATGATTGGACGCCTTTTGCAGGCGTACCTTCGGCTTGATCGATGTTTGCAGAGGGAAACTCTCACCAGTTGGCATAAACGAGTTTTGGCTGAGGAGCCCCGCATGCAGCTTGATGCTACGAGCTTTTCGCATATCCGATATCCGTCCACTTCCTGCGAGCGCTTGCCATAAGCCCTAGACTGATGTCCAGATGCTTGTTGCTGCCTCTAAAGTCCGGCAGCAAGGGAGAGATGGCATCTTCGGGAAGCAAAGAACACCGGGGCACAGGCAACAGTAGTAGCATGCATTGCAAGGATGCTCGAACGATCTTACGATAAAGCCCCAAAGGCCCCAAAGCGTAAACCTGAAACCCTAAACCCGTAAGTGCGGAGAAGTCCGTTGCTCTTTAAAGATGACCCTACCCACAGGCTCCATAGTAGTTCCTTTTGGGGATTAATGATTCTAAATATGAAACCCAGCAAGGAACCACTATGGAGCCTCTAGGTAGTAAGGGGGAAGCCTCGCCAACAACCGATGTTCGTCAACATCCAAACGTCGAAACGTCTCCCCTACTGAAGCTTCGCGGTGAACAGCTAGGTGACATTGCTTGTGAAGGTTCTATGTTTTGGTGTATGTGATATATAGGAACAGTATACACCATGTATTATACGATGATATGTTACATGATTGTGTTTCGAACCTTAAGCTTGTAAGCCGAGGTGAGGGATCAGCTCTACGACGTGCAGGAGGTTGCAACTACATATGGAGCTTTCGCTGTTCTTCGGCGTGATGGGACCGTGGTCACGTGGGGCTCCCCTGAGATCGGCGGCGACTGCACTTCATGCAAGGCCGAGCTGAAGAACATCCGCGCACTCAGGGCGTCTCGAGGTGCTTTTGCTGCGATTCGTGAGGATGGTGCTGTGGTTACTTGGGGAGATCCCTTTCGTGGTGCTGACATCTCCAGGGTTCAGAACCGCTTGGCAGGAGTTCGTGAGGTGCGAGCAGCGGCGCGGTCCTTCGCTGCCCTGCGGGAGGATGGGACCGTTGTGACGTGGGGTGATGCGAAGCACGGCGGAAACAGCGCTGATGTCCAACACCGATTGGAGCAGGTGTTGGACATTGCCGCCTCCGGCGGTGCCTTCGCTGCAAGACGGCATGATGGGACCGTGGTCACATGGGGTGAGGCGAAATTCAGTGGAGACAGCAGTGCTGTTCAAGAGCGACTCGTTCAAGTTCGCAAGATCTGTGCGACACCACACGCCTTCACAGCAATCAAAGAGGATGGAACAGTGGTCACCTGGGGAGAGCCAGAATATGGTGGCGATTGCACTTCAGTACAAGACCAACTGAAAGACGTTTGTGAGGTTTGTGCTACGGCTGGTGCCTTTGCTGGTCTCCGTGCAGATGGGACTGTAGCTGGGCTTTGGAGTATCATACTGCAATACTTTTTTCTTACAGGAACCATCATGAAATAGAAGTTTATATTTTTCTCCCTGGTTACTTAGAAGCCCAGGTAGTGACCTGGGGCAATTCAGAATTTGGTGGGGACAGCGCAGCAGTACGGGAGCTTCTGGTGCAAGCGGCCCGAGTCGAATTCATATATTAATTATATACAGATGTATATGTGTATATACATATATGTGTATATTATATATATATATAAATAAAAAAAAAATATATATATATATATATACACTGTCGCTGCAGCTCCTCCTGCTATTGTTCTTGATTGTATAGTTTCTATCTTGTCTTAGCAGCTGCGTCGCCCGTACCGTCAGCAATACCGTCGCGTCCCGGGTGTTTGCTCGTACTTTTGTGTCTGTGCCAATGCCACTTCTTCACAACATTACCTAAACGGAGTTTCCGAAAGCTAGTGGTACCTTATTTGGGGGTCCCTAGAAAACAGGATCCCACTATTTCGGGTACTACAATATTAGGGTCCCCTTTTTTCGGAAGCTCCCATATAGCCCGTATCCTTCTTGTTGCTGCTACAGCAACGGCACGACAGTTGCTGCTCGCGGTCATACTCATTGCACTGTTGCAGCTGCTACCAGCAGCAACGTTCATAGATCCATAGTCATACTGAATAATGGTAGTGAAAAATGGCAATGGTCGTAATACCAGTACCAACGGCGGAAACAGTAATGACAAACATTTCCATGGTCATCACCACCATCACCACCACCACCATCATTATCGGCATCGCCATCGTCATCTTCATCATCATCATCATGACCCTGCTCGTAGCACTACCGCCACTGCTGGATGCGGATGCTGCGGCCTCTGCTGGAACTCAGCTACATTCCTTTAGACGCCATTCTCAGCAGAAGCAGCTACTGTATGTACTTTTGCAAAACAAACTCAGCATTGCTGGTTTCTGAGCGTGTTTTTGTTTCACAGCGTTTGCTTCGAGCAGCTTCGCATAAGTCTGTCACAAGAAGCCGGAACGATAGAGCCGCTGTGGACCACCCTTGGACTAACCCCACTAACCAAACCCTAACTTACTCAACCCTAAAACCCAACGACCAGCACTAGTAACCAGTTCTGTTCTGTTCTGCTGTTGGAAGTGTCGGATGACGCAGTCTCGACTAGTAACCTATCTTTTAATAACTGGTAACCCTAAATTCCTCAACCCTAAACCCTAAACCCTAAACTACTCAACTCTACAATGACCAACACCAGTAACCAGTATAATATCCCACCTTCCAGCCCAGGTCCAGACTCTCACTGCTTCAGCTCGGGCCATCGCCGCTCGCCGCGCCGATGGCCACGTGGTGACCTGGGGCTGCGCAGAGAGTGGCGGCGATCTCCGGATTGCACCGATTTAGAGCTAGTATAGGGCCGTTAATCTTATTATCAGTATAGTATAATGGGCTGCGCCGATTTGGAGCTAGGTTTTAGGATTTGGTGCACCGCTGGCTTATTTTTTTAGGTTCCAGGGTTGAGGGTGGAGGGTGTTCCTCCAGTGAGCCCAATGCTGCTTCATCAGGGGTTGCACCTGAATCTGAAAGTGCAGAGGGCTTGATCTCATGTAATTTCAGGGGCCTTGAGAGTAGTTAATGGGCCTCATGACACGAATGCCTTTCTGTTTTGCTTCGTCAGCCAACCTGGCTTTATTGGGATCCCGTTCACCGGCACATGGCAATAACATGTAAGTGTCGCAAGCCACGGAACCATAGTATTAGCCATTAAACAGAGATAGTAATTTCCTCAATGGGGAACCCCTATTAATGGATCTACTTGTTGGATTTTCCCGGTGATGTTGTAAACTCCAGATAGGCCCTGGTATGTTTAGGATTCAGGCCCTTGGAGGGTTGAGTTGAGGTTTCAGGGTTCAGGGTTTAGCGATGTTTGTAGGGCTTGGTGTTAGGAGTTTCGGGTTCATGGTTTAGCGTTCAGGGGAACCATCTGGGGTTTCGCAGGGCTTGGAGTTGTGTTTTGAATTCGGGTTGGGGGTAAGTTTCGGGCGTTGGTTCGAAAGGTGCTGTAGCAGTGGGTTCACAGCTCGTGTTCGTTTTGGATCTACTTTCGGCTTTCTACTTCATGGATGTGTGTGTGTGGGATAGGAGCTCCAACCAACATGAATACAGGTTCGAGCTTACTGAGGCTTATACTGTCTACGACGTTTGGCATGTTCGGATCAAGACCCCACGACCGGAGGGCTCACCAGGTAAGCGCTGGACCCCGGACCCCGCATCCCACTTAAAAGCCAACGGTTCCAGGACAGTCGGGAGGTTCAGGACGAGCTGTTTCAGGTCGAGGACAGTAACGGGTGCCTCATTGTGTAATTTGCAATGGAATGTCTAGACGACTGAGTCAGTCTTGAGCCTTGCATCTGCAGCATCTACTGCATCCCGTCAGGGATCCCCTCCGATTCACATTATCTCCGAAATCTTGATGTCAAACCGATCGCCCTCGACCCTGCAACACTTTATGAAGGCGGCTGGGCTAGACCTCGATGTGAAAGTCTGTGACAAGACACAGCGCATGTGGAATAGCATATCGGGGATGGAAGGGTTGGGAGGTGCTCGCGAGATCAAGCATGTGCTCCTCGCGGCGTTGCTGCAGAGATAGTTCATTTTACAGTCGTACCAAGGCCAACAACGCAGGCGGCTATCCGATTAAGAAGTCGTTTGGGTGATCTTCCCTACTTGTACACCTGCCACATCCTGTTCACCTGTTCTCCCTTTGAACATCTGTCAGCGGCAACGGAAAGTTGACATGTTTTGCAACCCAATTTCAACTGTTTGCAGGACGTTTTTGCCAATCAGCGTCTTGGCTGTTTGATTTCGTATTGGGCCGGGCGGTAGAGAAGGGATATCCACATGACCTGTCCTTAAACACAACAACTGTCCAAAACATGGAACATCATGAAACTCCAAAAAGACTGCACGCATGCACTGCAGGATACATCGTTTCAGTGATGTTTGGGACTCGATGCAGCTGACCCAGATTCAGATCCTCCTGAACCCTGCCTATGATATCCATTGTAGTTCCTGTTTGGGTACCTTATGATCCTAAATATCTAAGCCTAAACCTAAACCCTAGACCGTCAACCGAACTACAACGGAGATTATCGTACTATAGACTATAGGAACACGAAAGCCCTCAATTTGAATCCTCGAGGCATTAGGCTCGAAGTCTAAATGAAAGCCTTCAGCCTAACATCAAAACTCCGAAAGCAGGGTTTGTAGGGCCTGGAAGAAGCCCGAAGGCCTAAACCCTATGGTCCTAAACGTGAAATCACTACATTCTTGAAACCAAAAGCCCGAACCCACGAACTCGAAAGCCACGTTTAGGGTTTAGGGTTTAGGGGTTTAGGGTTTAGGGTACGGTTTAGGGTTTAGGGTTTAGGGTTTATGCTAGAACCCTTAGAATGTACCCAATGTAGAACCCTTTAGTCATGTCGAACCTTGTTCCAGCACCAGGAACTATCCCTGCTTGAACCGCACAAAACCACGGATCTTGCATGCATACATACATATGTATATTTTTTTGATTTAGATGTGTATAAATATATATAGAAAACAAATGAATAAACAACCCGCATAGAACCCTAAAGGAAACCCAGACAGCGACGGCACCCTTTAAACCGCATCAAAGTATTGAAGGAACCCTAATCCCTGAAGAACCCCTTCAAGCCCCACTAGAGGAACCCTAGGCCCAAAAGAAGCCCTTATAAAATCGAACCCCAAACCCTAAACCTTAAAAGCCCTACAAACTGTTAGGATGGCCTTCGCTGCGCTGAAAGCGGATGGCTCGGTGGTCACCTGGGGCGCGCAGGGCGCAGGAGGCAGGCTCAGGGGTTTAGGGATTATAGGGTTTAAGGTTAGGGTCTATGGTTAGGGCTCAGGGGTTATATTCAAGCTTAGGGTTTGGGGTTTAGGCTTAGGGTCAGACTTTAGGATTAGATTCTACAGGGGCCAGGCAGGGTTTACGGATAAGTCAGGTTTCTTTCTCCATGCTCCTTGCAAGCTTCCATATCAGCTTTTCGTTTGCAGATATTGATTTTTTGATATGCTCCTATATAGGGTATGTCTAACCGTTAAGCATGTTGTGTCATCGTCTTGTCATGCTCAGGAGATAGCAGCAGCGTCCGTGCCGAGCTTTACTCAGTGCAGATGCTGGGCCCAATTGCTTTTTTGGAGATCTGATGCCTCAGGTCATGATATTCTTCATAGTTCTTATTGTTTGCTAAATTGAGTTATAGAGGATAAATGGGTGCCACGGAACCCACTCCTACGTATTGGATTGTCTGAAACCCCTAAAACATAAGCCCCGATGCCTAAGAGCTATCCCAGCCACATTGATCAACAAACCATAAGCCCCAGAACCCAGCCCTAAACTCCAAGGGTAAAAGGAGGGACCCTTAAAAAGGATCCCTAGGTATATACCCTTAATATAGTTATTATACACCCATTATCTAGCCCATTATAGGGTAGGGGTCCCCATTAAGGGTCCCTCCTTCACCCCTGTGGTAAACCCTAAAGAGTGAAAGATACGAAAACCCTACCTCTGGCCTGTGACCCATGCGGGTCTCCAGCTCCAACACTTTGTCAAAGCTGGGTAACATTTTACATTTTATGGATACTTAAACCCAACAAGGAATGTAAATGTAGTTTTTTAATCCTATCCCAGCCATGAACTAGCACACCGACGTACGAATTGAACGCAAGCTGTTTGGGGCTTAGGCTTAATATAGGGCTCAAGCAGGATGTATAGGGGGTTAAGGGTGTATACACTGTTTACGGGTGGATATATAATAGTTAGGAATATCTGGTCTAGGGTTTGGGGTTTAGCTAGGCGTTTACATATTTCGGTTTGTGTAGGGTTCAGGGTTTAGGTTGATGTAGGGTCTAAGGTCCATATAAAGCCATAAGGGGTTGACGGTATAAGGTTCATACTTGCCTGTGAAAATCCACTAAAGTACTACAAACCTAGTAGGCTGGCGAGTCTGAGCTGAGGGGTTAAGCGGATTTCACGGTTTAGGCCCTTCTAAACCCGAAACTCTAAACCGCAACGGCTGGTTTAGTGTGTGGATGGGGCAATGGGGCCTGTTAATACCCTAAAGCCTAAACCCTAGACCCTTTAGGGTTTAGGGTTGGTTTAGGGTTCAGGGTTTAGAGTTTAAAGATAAATTTGAAGCTTTCAAAGCCCAGAGCCCAGACAGAGCCCCGAAGCCACTGTGACGATTTCACACATCCAAACCTACACCCAAAACACAAAGCCCTGGAGCGTTTAGGTTTTAGGATGTAGACGGGTCAGTGTTCATGGGTTTGCTAATAGCCTAGAAGCCTAAATCGGAAAGCTGCTGAAAGGCTGAACTCCCTAAGCCTAAACCCTGCAGGCAGTACTCTGCGTGCAGCTTCGGTATGCTTCCTGCGCAGTGTCAAGCCTCAGGCAGATTTGCCCTTCGCATGCAGCCTTTGCGGCTGTGCGCAGCGATGGTGCCATCGTAACTTGGGGGGTCACGTGGCTATAAGGCAGAGGTTTAAGATTGTTGTTTTCCCTGCATGCACAATGTATGATCCAGCCCAAGGCATAGTCTCCCGATATGCAGATCTGCTGTAGCCTGCCGCCTTCTTTACATTTGTCCTAACCGTGTTGGACCAGCACCGAGATAATTTTGAATTTATGGCCATGCTTCCTCGGTTTCCATCTGCGCGGTCATCTCTGTTATCACCTGCACCTCATCTTCCTGAGAGGTCTGTAGATGTAATGTTGGTTCGATTCGATTCAATTCGAAAGCCTGGCCTTGCGTGCCCCCAACCATTAGAGCGGATCATCATGGAAGCGCGAATAAGTATGGTTAGTATGACTGAAGAATACGACCCCTTTGCGTCTCCTTACATATAGTTACACTTTAGTAAACTATACTATACCCAACAACCGTGTTCTAGGCATTAAAACCCCGCATATCACAGAAGTTTGTAGACCTGCTTGGGAGTGGAAGTAAACCCTTCGTGCTGCGCATCTTGCAAGCCTGCCCTGATCCCAGGATGCAAACCACGGCGGTCAGTTCAGCCTGGGCTGCCACGTGCTTCAAGCATCGGAAGAGAAAAAGAAAAAAGACTGCAGGATTACAGACTGTTTGGAACAACGAGCAGTAATATCCCCGTATAGCCCCTAAACAATTTTTCAGTCCAATATATCCCAGAACGGCATTCCGGTTGAATTCCAGAGTGTCCGTCTCTGTGATGCAAGGTCTAGTCCTTAGTCAAGATGTATCGGCCCCAAAGCAAGTGACAGGCCGGCATCATCAGCCGGGATCACACTACCTGAGCTTGTCGGACGACCTGGCCTTTGTCCGGATCTGAGATTCTAAGCCATGAGCTGCTGTTGTTGATGGTGGTGCGCAGGAAAGAAATGGCCTACTCCTACCCTACAGCGACGACAACAATAGCAACAGCAAGAGCACACCAGCAACAACAACAAGAAGAATAGCAATGCCAATACCGCCACCGCCACCACCACCGCCGCCACCACCGCCACCACCGCCACCACCGCCACCACCGCCACCACCGCCACCACCGCCAACGGCAACAACAACGGCAACGGCAAGAGCACCAGCAGCGACAAAACAACGGCAACAGCAAAAGCAAAATCAAGCAACGACAATCAACAACAGCAACAACGACAGCAGCAGCAGCAGCAGCAGCAGCAGCAGCACTTGCAACACCAATAACTAGAACAACCGCCACTACCATTGCCACTACCACAACCGCAACCACTACTACTGCTGCTTCTGCTTCTGCTACTGCCACTACTACCACTACTACTACTACTACTACTACTACTACTACTACTACTACTACTACTACTACTACCACTACTACTATTATTACTACTGCTACTGCTGCTGCTGCTACTACTACTACTACTACTTCCACTACTACTACCACCACTACTACGACTGCTACTAGTACTGCTGCCACTGCTACGGACACTGCAACTGCAACTGCTACTCGCACTCGCACTCGTTGCACTGCCACAGCTTCATGCTGGGGTCGTGGTTTCGAGCATCGGAGTCGGGTTCGGGGTTTAGGGTTCAGGGTTTAGGGTTTTGGGTTTTGGGTTTAGGGGTTATTTGAGATACTGCCGGTGAAGGCAGCAGTGCAGGAAGCACTCGTTGTCTTGCACGGACCCCATCTTCGGCATACACCCCACATCTCTGAAGCGTCATAGGGCCTTCTGGTAGCTGAGAGGGTTCTTTAGCGTGTCTATCGGGCTTCATATCCGTAAACCTTACCCTAGCCCTAAACCCCTACACCCTAATGTCCTAAACCCCTGGGCCCTAGTGCACACTAGACCCTAAACCGTAGGGTTTTTCCATGCTTGTTAAAAGGTGCTGTTGGGGCTCAGGCCTCCAGTCTTGTGGTCGTCTCTTGGCGCGCCAAACCGAGGATGAAGGAAAGTAAGCTATATGGTTTAGGGTTTAGGGGTAAGCTATATGGAGAGTTATCAGTACCTTATTTTAATCATTAGGGTTATACTTTATCTATGCTACCTATAGTCTCCATTGTAGTTCCTTTTCTGGTTAACCAAAATCTCTACTATAGGATCCTAACCATAAAACTGGTTAACCAAAAGAAGGAACTACAATGGAGACTCTAGGTATTTGCTAAGTTCCCTGACATGCGAGCAAACCCTAGACATGACACGTTTGCTTCTAAGTCGCTGCGGAAGCGTGGCGACGGCGATGGCCCCAGGGTAGTGGATCCGTCTCTTGTGCGTTAGGGTCTAGGGCTTCTGGCGGAAGGGCTCATTGATCAACTTAAGGCCTAAGGCCTAAACTTCAAAGCCCCAAATCCTAAACATTCCTGGTAGCGTCGCCGATGCAGTGTAGTTGCAGCAGTCTGCCTTGTGCTCTAAACCGAGTACAAAATAACTCGGCTGTCCTGAAACCCTCTCCAGATTGAGGCTCAGGATAATCGAAGGGGAATGTAGCTAGCACAGGGGCCCCAATCATCAGCAATACTATTCTGTAAAAGACTCAGCTAATCAATAAATTGCTGACTATTGTAAGCGCATACCCCTCAGCCCTATTCTAGTCTTAGAGGCTTCTATGGCCCTATGGTACGCAGTGCAAACAGGTTTGGTAAGCTCAGGGTCCGTGTCTTCGCGGTCTATAGGGCTTTTCTGTCTTAGGCTGTAGGATTCAGGGCTTGGCTACCCTAAGCCCTAAACCCTAAACCTTAAACCGGGTTGTTTGGATCCGTGGCAGCTCCCATCCAGGAGACGAGAGTATCGTGCAGCAGACTATACCATATTCGGGTTGCTCTACGCAAGTGAGCAGAGTGTGTGAGTGTGTGTGTGAAGTCTTCACAGCTTTGGAGGCTGTGGAAAAGCGGCATGGGGGCAAGCCTGCACTAATGGTAACCTCATTTGATAACCTCATTCATCTACATCGCAACAGCCCCCAAGCAACAGGAGAGCAACTCCAGACCTAGGCAGGTCTATGAGAGCATGTCCTGAGCTACCCGTTGCGGATTTTCTTTCAAGAGGCTGCGTCCCAGAAAGCTGTGGCTCGTCTGTCAATCTCCACCGCCATGCTCAAAACTAATGCAAAGCTGGGCGAACTTACAGGGTACTGCAAAAACGACCTGGCGACATCCGCATCCAGTACCGGGGCGTTCGTATGAGAGCACAGCTGCAAATGGCCTCGCTGGCCCGCAAAACTCTCACAATTGCTCAAGACATGCACCACGCCCGGTCGAACGGACTTGCCACAAAAAATGCAGCGCTGAATCCTGGCGCTGCTGGGGCGACCGTCAAGATGCGTTGCTTTGACAAGCCCTGCCCTCAGCCGACAAAAAGCTCTGATTGCCAATTGCGACTGCCAGTCCAGCTTTGAAAGAATGGGAATCAGCTTCAGAAGCTGGCTTGGGGCCTGTTGGAAAGTCAAATACTGAGGAACCCGCACTTGTCGCTGAATGCAAACGATCCAATCCTTGCGACTCAGACTCGCGCAACTCTTCAAAACACAGTCCTTGTACTGGCTTAACAGTGCCCCAGGTTTGTACCAATCTGGCCAATCAGCAATCTCATGCTGATCCAAGAGTGCTTTACTACGAAACGACCATGAACTTGACCATGAGTGCGCCAATAAGAAAAGCCTGCCGTAGTAGTCATTAGCTGCCAGAGTCCAAAGTTG